TTCAACTTAAACTAAGGAAACAGCACAGCATCACGGTGGCTCCCCACCCTCCTTACTCTCCAGATCAGGACCCCTGTGGCTTCTGGCTGTTTCCTTAGTTCAAGTTGAACCTGATCAAGGGGAAGATGATCATGGACAGAATGGAGATCCAGGACACATCACAGAAGGTGTTCTCCAGCCTCACCAACAAGGACTCCCAGAAGTGGGAGGAGGGGATTCAGCACTGCATTGAGGCCCCTGAAAAAGATTTAAAGGATGAATAAAGTTTTACTGTTATATCTTGAAAAATATAGCTTTTATGAAGCCAGTCTGGGAACTTTTGGATCGCACCTCGTGTATGTGCAGACATTGGGTTTATATTTTTTTCCATTATCAGATAAAATAAAACTATGTTCTGAGAACATAACTGGGTGGCTGTTGATTCAAATTAAAAAAAAAAAAACTTGTTTACAACCTTGATTTCTATCAAAGGTAAACATTTTTATTAGTATACAGTATACCAAAGGAACCCACCAGGGCTCAGCTTACAACAACAATGATAAACAAAAGGAAAATTTTTTATTTTTGTACAGACAGGGCACTTTAGAAAAATAAAGTTAAAGTACTAACAATACAAAATACAGCTCCTCCCCGACTTACGACCACCCGGACATACGACCTGCTCAGTCGTACCAAAATTTGGTCAAATTACGTATTTTCGAGTCCCAACGTCAATGATTGCGCTGTGTACTGACAAAATTTTCGTTTATAATTCACTTTAAAATGGCTGGCAAGCTTAAAAGTGAGAGTTTTGTGGTGCTGAGAAGAAAAAGAGACACCCATTTTAGATTTTCTATGTATTATTTAAGCATTTTCGACTTACGGCCATTTCGATTTACGACCTGGATTTGGGTCCCCAACCCCGTCGTAAGTCGGGGAGGAGCTGTACTGGCTGTAAAAATGCTGCCAACTTTAAAACTATCTGCAGACATTCTTGTGTACATCCAGGGTGTCATCCGTGAATAATCGAAGGCAACGAATTAAAAATCAGCAAATTGAAAGGGCATGCTGTATTGTACAACATGAAGCTTAAAACTTCTCTCAATTTTTGGCAATTTTCCATAACTGAGGACTTTAAGTAAAAAACCCATTTTATGACTAAGGGGATGAATGAGTGGACTATGAGATATAACTACTGGACTAGCTCCTGGCAGAGCCTGACTGGCTAATGGCAAAATAAACTATCCCGACAGAAAATGTCAGATAACATTTTTATTGCGAATAGAACTCTGCCACAAAGTCAAAGCAGGATCAATGATCTGATCCCATATGAACTGGTGGTTGTGTCAAGTCAGGGCTTTGAATACACTTTATACTTCTCTAATTTGAATGCCTCTGGCCGTTAAAGTTCCTGCTGATTTATAACTCCCCAATGGAGGAGAGAAGGTAACCAGGTTATTTTGTTTGTTTCCCTTTGTTATAAAATGGGAACTCTAACTTTATTCCTTCATTTGACTTCAGGGTCATCAGCAAATGATTATGAGTTCCTAAACCTGATGGGATGAGATGGAAGTACTCATGTGCTGATAAGTCCTACTGTTAGAACTCTAAAGAAGTAATGCACTCAATTAAAAAACAAAAACACTGGGGCTATTAAGCGTCATTGGTTGAATAGCCCAGGAGTCTACACACTACATAGACAGCCGGGCCATTCAGCTGTGAACCCATAATCATATTAACAACTGTATATCTGTAACTAGACCTATTTATATGTACAACAACTTGTATGTTATAATTTATGTAATTTAAGCTACACTGTACCTCATGATCCTCTAGCCTTTCACAAATTTACCATCCATGAATAAAGCTTCAATGAGCTACTTTTTTACCTTTCATATCACCATATTCCATTTCCAGTCAGCCATTATGGCAAGTGGAGGATTGGTAAAGGCAGCCAGAAAAAATATAGAGTGGAGGACTGTGGTCACCAGCCTTCAGATATGAGGATGGTACTCTGATTAATTGCCAATGACAAGTAATAAAAAATAAGCAAAAAATTAGATAAACAAAATGATATGGTACTCCTGAAAATTGTATCAGAATATTGGAAAGAACATAATTTACAATACTACTGTACACACTTGTATTAGTGATGAAACAAGGCTATTAAGAGTGGTCGACATACTGAAGACATGGTGCAAAAAGGCTGTTTATACAGCTGAAAAGTATAAGTTTTGATTATCGTCTGTACAGGAGGTTCCCGACTTAAAAACAGCCGACTTACGAACACCCACCAATATGAGCGAGGTTAAACTTGAAATTTACAGTACCTGTACTGTATTTTATTAACCTGATGACTTATTTTTTACTTTCATTTACTATACAGGTTGATAACCCCTTATCTGAAATCCTTGGGGACAGATGTGTTTTGGATTTTGGAATTTTTCAGATTTCAGAATGGTTAGTTTTTTTTTTAACAGGGATTAGCCCACCCGGGCACAGGTCACTGACCCACATCGGAGCCTGAGGGGTGAAAATGTACTACTACTACTACTACTACTACTACTACTACTACTACTACTACTACTACTACTACTACAACTACTACGATTTTTTTTTTTTTATTAACGTGGCCTCCAGCCTCCCCCAATAGCCACCATTTAATTACCTTAATATTAAATATCCTAATACATAAGTAGCTATCCTATCTGTGTTAAATTAGTTCAGCCGCAGATCTATGCGGCATTCAGTGACAGTAGCCTCATAGTCAATATCTGCAGCAGTTGTCGGAGTTGGGGCAGAAGCTCTCGTTCCCCTGAGGCAGAGCAAAGCCGACCAAAGGAGAGAGAAAGACAATCGACATCTCATCCAGGCTGTAACATAACTTCTGGGCTGCTGCTTCTGTTCGGAGATCAACTCCGCGAGTCTGGCGTAGAAACATCTTGCACTTGGTCCCATCCCACCAGAGGTTGTGAACACTAGAGGAGTGAAGCTGCCTTGATCAACATTTTGAATTCTCTCCCCATATGCCCTTCTCTTGTCGTTCTCGTTCCTCCTATGTGCAGCATCGAGAGCTAGGTTACAGTGACATGCAGCCATGGGATCAAAAATCCTGATGTTGAAGAAAGCTCGCTGTCCCCGCGTCCAGAATCCTTGAGCACTGACGTCCACACGGGCTTCGTTAGATGTGTTTGAAGTCCTGTGTTGGAAGATCTCACCGTCCAATGGAAGGAGGGTCGGTTCTACCATGACATCCCGGCAGATTTCCTTCAACATATTTGCTGTGAGATCCCTTACCTCGTCATGCCTCATGCATATGAAGCCCCCCTTCTTGCACACCATGGCGTGATCGCCATGATAGGAAGAGCCACACACGCATTGGGAGGGCAAACCTTCTACTGGCCGACCGTACCTTAGAGCAATGGCATCTGTAAATTCTTGTTTATTAAGACTGAAACCATTTGCCCTTATCGGTAACGTAGTTAACCAGTTCGAGGCACCCACCTCCTGCGCTATAGCTACTTTTTTTTTCAAATTTTCTGGTACCTGCAGCAATAGTTGCTGCGACTTATCATTTTGGCAGTGCTGTCGATCTGTCGTAATGGACCTACGAATCTTATTTACTTCACTGGTATCCACTTCCCCTGTTGCATTCTGGGCTATTATGTGGTCTGTGAGGGCTGCCGTGAGCTAATAATAATAATAATAATAATAATAATAATAATAATAATAATAATAATAATAATAATAATAATAATTCGTAGGTCTAGGTCGTGTTTCTTACTTTGATCTTTTTTTTTATTTCTTTATTATTATTTTTATTTTCATTATTATTATTTCATTATTATCATTATTATTATTAATGTTGTTAATATTATTTTTGTTATTATTATTATTATTGTTATCATTATTATTTTATTATCTTATTTTTGCCTATTTTTATTATAAATTTTATTTACTTTGAATTATTATTATTATTACCTGTATTACTATTACATCCCCCCCCCCCAGACCCCGATGTGGGTCAGTGACCTGTGCCAGGGTGGGCTAATCCCTGTTAAAAAACAAATAATAATAATAATAATAACAAAATAAATAAATAAATAACAAAAAACAAAAACAAAATAATAGGGGCATGTGATGCTCCACGAAAAAACTTTAGGTTTTCAGAGGTTTTCGGTTCTTGGAATTTCGGAGAAGGTATTATCAACCTGTATTTTGTTATTCTATTTCTTCTTTTGTCTTAAATTCAGCTATTTTACATGTACTATATAAGGACTTAGGCTATAATATAGTGGGACTCAACCCTTAAGCCCCGGGTGATGTTCCAGAACGTCCGCCTAATCCCGCTTTTTTTTTTTGAAAGGTTGATTTTCCTGATTTCTCCCCGCAAAGGGGGGAGGGGGAGGGGTACTGCCAGCAGCACCCTAACCCGGGGCTTAAGGGTTAAACATTGTTTTGTAAGTACAGTATGCATATAGCGTGTTCCGACTTACGAGCATCCTCAGGACGGAACCCATTCATAACCTGGGGACCCCCGCACAGTACTGTACTACACTGTAGTGGCTTAGAACAGAATTTATGAAAATTTTTAAATCAGAATATAGTACAATAATAAGAAATTATATTGTGAGATGCTAGATAATAAATTAAACGTAATCATTCTTTCTAAATACTCACACACCTTTAATGACAAATCATGGTCTTACAGTAAAATATTTATACTGTATTACATCATGGAAATATATCTGTGCTTCTCAATCTGGTGGAGAAATTACTAAATTGAAGATACTACAGACCTAGAGAAGAAGCTTATCATTTAAATTAATTAAAACTGTACCCTCTACAAGTATAAACCTGGTTCTACTAAACTATTGGCAGCCATCACAAACTAATGCTCCAGGATAACAATTGCTGTTCATGTTGCTATTACTCTTACCATCAACAGACAGCTTGTTCTCTTTGTCCTCTATAACCATTAGCTACTGGTTTATTAATTATAGATTTCCTTAAAAACCTACCAATCTGTTTTTCAGTATAGATGGCCTCATCAGCTGTGGCTCTTGGAATTATCCCCGGGTCAGTGAAGGATGTATGAAATAGGGAAGACATGACGAAAATAAACAGGAGACCCCCAAACGCTGGGATGGCCGCCGTCAAGTGCTTCGCCAGGAAGGGACAGCTGGTGAGAAATGTTTGTTAAATGTGGTTCTATATAACAACCTTTTCCATTGAAAAGTAAAATGGCATTTGACACAGAAAAAGAAACCTTGATATTATTCACCTCATTATAATTATTACCAGTCACAAGAGTATATTCTAATACAAGAGTATATTCTAATACTGTACCAGGTACAAGTCACTGATAAAAATTACTCGAACAGGTTTTTTTTTTATATAAATCAAAAGAACAGGTTAAATCAGAGCTGTGTAGGTGAAACACACAGCTACACCTCCACTGGGCAAAAATCAATCAAACAATTCCAAAACATCATAAGGTAGTTTGGATGTATGTAAAGAATCCTAAAATTTCACTGAGTTATACTGGACACTTTTTGCATAAAGCTGCTAACAAACTTGGGTGGGACATGTTTGGATGGACAGGTATAAATAAATACTTCCCCCTGTAAATACAGAGTAAGGAGGGCATAAAAATATTTAAAATTTCCTCCCAAAATTTAAAAGTAGAAAATTTCACACTTACTCAAAGACGAAGAAGAGTACATTTGTAACAACAATGAGTCCGACGGTGAAATAAAAGATGCCTGTCTGTTGAGCCATCATTATCCTCCCATCGCAACAAAACTTGTTGCGACCTGGAAAAATCTGCCACTTGCGTTTAACGCTTGCCATCTTCACCTGCAGATATGAAAACTTATACAATACAGTAGTCAGCAATATTTTCCCAACCTAGTCCAATAAACTCTAGAGTATAACAACACACATTATGGGGATTCACGTACATAGAGAAAAACATTAAACACTGCACAGTACATGTATGGGTAGAGCTCACATCTTATTGTCAACCTTTTTAGGATATCCTTACAAGCCACTTCCTTCAATAAGTCTAATTTTCAAGTAACACTTTAAAAAAAGAGAAAACAAAATACAGTAGTAACCAAAAGTAGATCATGTAACCATTATTGAAAATGTTCAAGTAATTTGGTAGAACAGGCAATCATTGGTTTATGAGAGTGAAAGGAAACTTTGCAGAAACCACAAAAAAGAACAGTCTTTGGTATAAGATACAGTACACCAGTAAATGTAATAGAGTATGCACTGAGTTTATCTCTTTCTGTGTAACATGATGATCAGGTCATATGAACACTGCACATCCTGTAGTCTCTCACATACAGTATCTGCTGTACAGTAAAGGTGATGCAAGTGACCTATGAACTAAAGCCTCATCCACTTCTGACATCCTTATCAGCCTTTACAATTTCAGTGAATTTACCAACTCCTGGGGCCGCAGACTCAAAAACATTTACGGGACTGTATCTCTTTGTTTACCCCGTAACTGGACTTACAGTCTCCGATCAGTATACTCAAAACAAATATTTGGCAGCGGGCTCCGTAAGTGAGCGTGTAATCTAGCCCGTAACTTACAGCACCTCCATAGGTGCTGTAACACGCTCAACCCGAATATAGTAGTTGCTATTTCCCGATTGCATGAGAAAAATTAATAATATATGTTGTAATAATGCTTGTTAGACTTGTTTTATCATAGAAAAATGAAGAAAATGTTGTGTACATCAACATACTAAAATATGAAACAGTAGTCTCTCGGTTAACGAACGCCTCGGTAATGAATTACCTTCCATAAGAATATTCAATTCGGTTAACGAAAAAAATTCGGTTAACAAATTCCTTACGAATTCCTCTCAACATGTTTTCGCCAGCTCACCAGCTGTAGTATTAGTCCGCCAATACAGTAATCGGTTTGAGGGCTTAAATTCGTTACATTTGAGTAAATATCAAGAAAGTTGTACTATTCAATAATTTTCCAAGTCTTATATTAAAGTTTTTAGTAATTTTAACAATTCTTTAACATAATTGAAGTACAGGGAACTAGTTTTTAGAGCACCAAACAGCCACTCAACACACCCAAAATGGTGTCAGTGTGTGTCCCTGCTCAGTGGAGGAAGAATCTTGCTTGTGGCTCTCTTGAACATAAACTATTTTTATGTTTTTACAGTACAATTATTGGTCATTCTGAAGTTTATTGTACATATTGAAAATATATAATGCAGTGCAGTGCTGATTTAAAGAAAATAATCTTGAATTACACCAAGTGAACTAAAATTTTATGGGTGAAATGGCAGCATGGGGTGACTTCTCTTCCACCCCAATGCCTTCTCTTCTCCCTTCTCCTCCACCCTCATTCTAATTCCCATCATCATCAACCAGGAGCCTTCTACATGCACACCTCAAAGTAAGTGTACTTTACTGCATTTATTTTTACTTTGTATGTAATTTTCGGTGAGCTGGAACCAATTACCCAAAATCCCATTGAAACAATGGTTTTGGTTAACAAAATTTTCGGTTAATGAACGACCTTCTGGAACGAATTGTGTTCGTTAACCGAGGGACCACTGTAAAATGAACTGCAGTACACTCTGGGACTGTACGTAATTACCTTTATTTAAAATGGAAAACAAATTACAAGGGAAAACATTACAATACTGTACTGTACTGTGCAACATGACACAAGGCTCTTTAAAGACTTTATTACCTGTGCTATCAATATCTGTAAAAGTAAAACTGGCTCCTATAGTTTGGATGCACTCGACCACCTTCACTTCTCCAAGTTGTAAGCTTAGGTACCCATTTACAGCTGGGTGAACCGGGAGTGGCCATGAATAGAATCACCGAGCCCCGGAAAAGAAGGCGAGTGCTATATCCCCTCAACCGCTGTGCTCTTATTAATATCTGTACTGGGCAATTAATAATACAAGTAGTGTACTGTACTGTACACTTAAAATACAAGAAAATAAAATTGAGTTGTATTGGAAGTGGTAATACTGTATAACACTACAATCCCAATGTGTGTGTGGATACACTACCATTATTTTCAGCAGTTAAATTTTTCATTTAACTACAATTTTGTGATTACTATACAGTACTGTAATTTTTTAAACAGCAATGGATTTTGATAGCAGTATTTTCAAAAATATTAATAATAATGACTTCACAATCATAAACTTCCTAACATCATATCATGCATACAAGGGTGGGAAAATAATGATACTGTATATACTGAACTGTATGCCCTAAGTCTAAAAAATTACTCTTGATAATGACTCATACCTGACAAATAACCCTCCCAACTGAAGATAATAGCTTCTCTGGCCAAGGTCCAAATCCATGACCTTGATAGTGTTATACACGACTTCTCTGTACAAATATACGGTGGTTAAAGTTATAAAAAATATTTCATATTGGGATGGCTTACACAGTCTCTCACCACTGCTGCCATTGCAACACTAAACACTAGTGTGTTATACTTCCCTTGAAGCAATACCACAGCTCTAATCTATCAGCTATCTCGTCAAGTTGGACCTGTCACACGTCTCTTATCTTGCATGAAAGGATCTGTTTAATAATGTTATCTTACATTATTTGAAATGAATCAAGTTATGTTTCAAATGTATGATGCTCTGGATGCTGAACTGTGAGGTAACATTCCAATGTATTCCTGAAAGCCATACTGTAAAATATCTCATACAGCTACTATACAATACAGTATTTCAATTTAACTAACTTATCTTCTGATATTTACAGCATACTGGTACGAAAAAACAGTACAGAATACATCATACACTAAGCCAAGTTACAGGCACCCAGTTTTCAAGCTTTGATTACCCTTTGGAAAATATATCACAATGTGTCACCAAATGATATGCATATTTGTAATTTCCCCTGACACTCATTAAACAATGATGGTAGTACAGTACAGTACATTTCTTCCATAGCAATTGTTACCCTTAAGAATTGGAGGACTGATCCTGAAATCCAATTTTCCAGAGGTACCCATTGCCAGGTAGTTCTCACAGATCAATTGCTGGGGGTCAGAGTCTCAGTACCTTTCCGGATGATTTCTTTACCCATTTTGGGTACTGGTATACAGATCACTCCTTCCTCCCCATCACATGAACTGCACCAAATGAGGACTAAGAACTCTTTTTAGGACAATGTGTAATCTGATCAGTTAAAGTTTTTTGAATGAGAGAATATAAGCTTTCTCATAGTTAAGTTCTGTTTTGTTAAAGGCTACATTTGTGATTCAAAGAGGAATTATTGGAACTTCCTCATGAGTTTAGTAAGGAGCTAACTTCTTTAGAATAAGGGTTGTGAACTCTTGGAATAAACTGCCACATAAAGTTGTGACAATATCATCAGTGATCGCCTTGAAGTCCAGACTTGAACAACACTGGAAATGTTCAGGTAAATTGAAGAGCCTTTGCATGCCTAGTGTAGTACCTACCAACAGTGTGTACTGTAGAGTTACATAGAAATGACTGACTACCCAACTGACTAGTAAGATGACAAGAATAAGCAAAGTACAGTACGGTAAAGATTGTAACACACCCTACCTTTGCTTATCATTGCTGATATGTGAGACTAGGTCATTATAGACCCCTTGCACCGACATCATAGATGCCATAGAAAACGTTGCTATCCGCCAACTTGGGCTGCAACAGTTTTGTTTTCAGTAATCAGTGGGTGAGGATGGCTGCAAAGTCTAGCAATAAAAGAAGTGTTGGAAATGCTGAAATGGCTTGGTTAGCCAGTTATTAATGACAGTCTAACATGTGCAGAATTTAGGAAAAGATATAAATAAAATTCAAGACAACTGGGATACCATGATCCATACAAAATGTGAAGAAACAAGCGGTTCGATGACATGGACATTTATTTTTTTTTTTTACGGGGATTAGCCCACCCGGGCACAAGTCACTGACCCAAATCGGGGCCTGGGGGGCAAATATGTAATAGTAATAATAATAATAATAATAATAATAATAATAATAATAATAATAATAATAATAATAAAGAAATACAAAAATTTAAAAAAGATAAAGAGTGAGAAACAATACCTGTACAGTTAACCCTCACTTTACGCGGTTAATGTAACCCGGAGGGTCCCGCGTAAAGTGAGGAACGCGTAAAGTGAATAACATAACATATGGGATTACAGTAATTGAAATGGAGTCCGGGCCGATCCCCAAACTCCACTTTTTGACGACACACAACTATGTTGTAGTAAAAATTTTATCTTAACTTTATGATGGTATGAAAAAACAAGTAATATAGAAGAGGTTAGGTTAGGAAAGATAAAGGTTAACATAGGAAAAATAAAGGTTAGGTTAGAAAACTAAAAATTAGGTGTAACACTCACGGTAGTAGAAGAGATGGGTCGGCATACGGGGATGGAGGCTGGTTCCGAGGCAGAAGGCAGATTACTGGCCCTCAGGTGAATCACCATTACTAGGTGAATCACCATCACTGTCACTTACAGTTGTCAGGGCTTCCCTGACAAATCCCTCAAAGTCATCTTCACTGTCACTATCACTGGCTTGGGCTGGCTGTGGTGGGTTGCGGGCGAAGAAATCTGTTATGCTTTGCTGACGGCTGGCGTTGATGTTGTCGTGATACACCTTGATGTACGGCTCCATAGCCTGCACCAGCCGGGTATGGAAGACTTCATAGCGGTCATCGTCATTGTCGCGGGAAAGGAAGGACTTCATCTTCTCTGCACACTCCATGGCACCCTTAATATCACTATGACTTAAATTGTGTTCTTCGGAGACTGACGCACCTTCTTCCTCCTCTTCACTGACGTGTTCTTCTTCCAACAT